AACTTCAAACATAAAATTTTATAGAAAATAAAAATAATATACCATGTTTAACATTTTTCAAAGGCATAGGGGGGCGGCTGCCTCCCCTTGTCCTACACTAGCTCAGTCCCTGATTATATGTAAAGTACATATTGTTGTTCTTAATAATCATTAATTATAGGTTATCATTAAAATTGATTTGAAGATTATAATTGAAATAAAGATGAGACTTTATTCAATACTTTTGGTTCCATATACTATAAATTGATAAATGTTAGAGATGGACTAAATTAATTTATGTAACTTAATAATAAAGTGACAATCCCAAGTTTGAAGTTTCACATAATATAATTCATTTTTATCTATTTAATTTCAATGCTTGAACATGTGCTAAACCCAAATCTGATTGGTTATATTTGGGCCGAATTGATTTGTTTGGTTTACATATTATGGACACGCTTCATTGACCTCAATTACGTATGATTGATCAACAGTGATGGTAGGCCAGGTAGGGTACCAACTCTGGTCAAACAACTGGGAAAAACCATTGCGGTTGATGAGAAATAGTTGTCAAATTCAGAGTCTGTTTGACGTGATTTGTGAGAATTTTTATTTTTTGAGTACTCTTAAATGATAAGTTTAAATTTTTATTGGAGGAAAAATAAAGTTTTAACTTTTAGAAAGGTGAAAAAGTGAGTGAAAAGTAAGTAAAAAGGGAGTTTATAAAAAGTTTAGATTTGAAACTTTTGAACTTTTATTGTTTAAGAGCTTTTTAAGGTTAAAAAAATATTTTAAAGTGTAAATTTTTAAGAGAAAAATTTAAATTCATAAGATATAAATAGTATCCAAAAGTTGAAACTCATAGGAACTGATCCAAACAGGCCCTTAGTCTGATACAAGGTGGATGATGGTAATAAAAGCAAGAATAATATTTGGTGTGTGCAGGTTATTTATTTATTTACTTTTTAACAAACTTTAAAGTATCTAAAAATTATATTAAATCTCAATTAATTCAAAATTAAATCATATTAAATTTTATAAAAGAAAACTCTCATAATACTTATTTCTTCATTTATAAAACTTAAATTCAAAATTTTATTTAAAAAAAAAAACTAAATTCCTTCATTGGGACCAATAGATCCGTGGTGGTGTGTGCAGGTTATTGAAGCTGGAAGAACTCGAGAACAGGCACAGGAGGCCATCATATTTACACGGTATTCCTTATTTATGTTCCTTATTTCGTTCATTGCTCTTTCATATTTTTCTTGTTTTCCAATGCTATTCTTCTTGTTCAACTGGCTATAAAAACTCAATATATAATAGTTGAACTCAAACACTATAAATGAAATTACAATTAGTGATACAAAATATTGTCTTATAGATTGAAATGTACTGAACAATAAAACACTAACTATTAAATTAGAAGATAACTCTTAATAATGAGGTAGAGCTCCTCTATTTAGTAGTTGGTGTTTTATAAATAGATATAGACTGTTTGAAAAAAATTTAATTAAGTGATTTTTTTTTATAACATAAGTATTCGATCCAATAAGAATTTAATCAAATTGATACTTAGTAATTTAAAATCCTTCATTTAAGGTCAATATAAAAAATTTAAATTTTTATGTTACCACACAATTAAATCTTCTGAATTTTTTTTTTAAACCATAAGTATTCAAATCTTTATACATTTGATTAAAGATTTAAGAGGTGTTTTGTATGTCCTTGGGATAGGAATTGTAGTTTATATTAATATGAAATTAATATTGGTTCAAATTTTTTCTTTTAGAGATAGCACGACAATGTAGATAGGATAGATATATGCATTGAAGTTTGTTATATGTGTTTTAAGGGTATAAGGTAATAGAATATAGGTAGTGGTATTGTTTGAAGTGTGGCTAACATAGACAGATGCAGAACATTTCATTTATCAGCGGTAGCGAAGCTGTAAGAGAACGGTTCAATATTGTTACTTTACGGTAACTTCGATACATTTTTAAGTATTATATCACCCTTTAAAACAATTTCTGCAGCAGCAAGTATTTTCTTGTATTCAGCAAAATTTTGTAGAAGGCCTTTATTTGCAAGACATTAAATTCGAAGAGATCATCTTATTCCCAATTTACTCATAGAACCTACCTCCTCTGAAATCAAGTTTTGTTTTTCTAGTAGATATCTTTTAACCCCTGAATCTAGTTCAAGGACTTGGATCGGGTCAAATTCAACTAATAAGTATTTTATCACTCCTTACAACAACTTCTGCTACAAGTGGTATTCTTCTATGTCCCCCATAATTTTGTAGAAGGCTTTTATCTACAAGACAATAGAATTCAAATGTTAAATTTTGTTCATGCAAAATTGAGTGGGCATGCATATCATGCTTCTTTCTGTCAGTACATGGTTTTAGGATCTTTAACAATCCGAGCCTAATATTTAATAACCTTAGTCAATGTGTTGATTCCTTAAAATAATCTACTAGTTTATATTATACAAATTAATTAATGACTTTTAACATAGGAAGAGCATTAGTGAATTGTGGCAGTGCTCTTGTAATTATTTTCCTATCACATATTTGAAAATAGGAGGACTTGGTGAAGATGAAAACAATCCAACCTCGGGCCGC